GATGGCTCCAGAGGGGGAGACTCCCCCACCTCTCTGGGCAGCCTGTGCCACTGCTCTGCCGCCCTCACAGCAGAGAAGGCCCTCCTCAGGTGGAGATGGAACTGCCGATGGTCACCTTTGTGCCCCTTCCCTCTCGTCCTCTCACTGGGCACCACTGGAAAGAGTCTGGCCCCATCCCCCGGCACCCGCCCCGCAGATATTGATCAGCGTTGATGAGATCCCCTCTCAGCCTTCTCCTCTCCGGCTGAACAGCCCCGGGGCTCTCAGCCTGTCCTCAGCAGAGAGGTGCTCCAGTCCCTGAGCATCTCCGTAGCCTCCGCTGGACCCTCTCCAGCAGTTCCCTGTCTCTCTTGAACCAGTGCTCCAGATGTGACCTCCCCAGGGCAGAGCAGAAGGAGAGGATGACCTCCCTTGAGCTGGACCTAGGACCAGCCTGGGCCATATGAACCAGTTGAGGTGGCTGCGGCCAGTCGGAGCCTGTGCCCTCCCCTCTGCCCTTGGCCAGGGCCGGCCTGGCCCCATCCGACCTCACAGGGACTGTCCCCAGGGGCAGCTCAGCTGCTTCATGGAAAACATCACAAAAGTGGGATGGGGATGAGAGCCTCAAGCTGGTTTATTGCCTGTTTCTGGTGGGTCCCTCCAACACTGGTGGTTCCCCACTGCTGGGGGCACGGGGACAGAGAGCAGCTGGGGCGTGTGCGGTCCCTCGGTGGGACAAGGGAGAGGAGCAGGGTGGGGAAGGGGTGCTGGCCCTGCTCTGCCTCTCACGGCTCCATCCAGGGCATCCCCGACGCCGGCAGGCTCCAGGCGCTGAACTCCCCAGAGTCTGTGATGTCCTTGGCAGCCACCTGGATGTGGTGGAGGGTCCCGGGTACCACTCCCGTCAGGGTGTAAGATGTTTGCTCGTATGGCCCGATCTAGGTGGGGTTAGAATGGGGTTAGGGGCACCCATGGGCAGGGGGGGCAGGACACAGGCTTGCTCAGAGATGCATCCCTCCGCCGTGCCTCAGTTTACCCCGTGCAGGAGGGTGGGGGATGCAGCAGGGGGGGCAGTACCGTTTTGGTGACAGACCCTTCCTCCCGGGCATAGCGGATACGATACTTCAGCGGAAAGTACTCTGGGAAGGGCCAGGACCCTGGCGGGCTCCACTCCAGCAGCAGCTTCTTGGTCTCCCCAGGGATGGGTGAGACCCGCAGATCCTCAGGGGGGTCCGGCTTTACTAACGAAGCAGGGAGACAACGAAGGTGTGAGGTGCTGGCTGGGGGGTCCGGCACGGGGCCACGCCGTGTCCACCAGCCCCATTGACTGAGCTGTGCAATGAGGGCTGCAGATGTTATAGAATCATAGAATCGCTTGGGTGGGAAGGGACCTTTGAAGGCCATCTAGTCCTGCAGTGAGCAGGGACAACTCCCTCCAGCCCAGGCTGCTCTAAGCCCCATCCAACCTGGCCTTGAACACCTCCAGGGATGGGGCAGCCACAGCTTCTCGGGGCAACCTGCGCCAGGGGCTCACCACCCGCACAGGAGAGAATTTCTTCCTCACATCTCATCTAAATCTGCCCTCTTTCAGTTTGAAGCCATTATCCCTCATCGTATTGCTCCCCTCCTTGATCCAGAGCGCCTCCCCAGCTTTTCT